CGCATTGTAAAGGATGCAGAAGAATGCTCACTCTTCTGGCCTGAAGACATTAACCTAATAATCGGTAGCTTGGGTTTGTTAACTTCATCAAGACTACCTTCCCAGTGCTGGTTTAACCAGTCACAAATGATGGGAATAGGAATACCGAATTGCATAGGAGTATCTTTCTTACATGATGACGAGGATGAGGAAGAAGTCATGGACGACTTGGTATTAGGAGAGGTAGCTAGCTTCATAGGATCACAGACCATAAATGCAAGGTTCCCATGTGAATCAAATCCGGCCGAGCCAGGGTTCCATATAATTCCATCGGTTGACAGTTTTATGAGGTTGTCTGTGGCAATCACCACCTTTCCCTCACCTAATGTTGCTTCTTGTTTCTCGGTGTAACCTAGGAGGTAAACAGCACTTCCTAGATATAAACATGGTTTAGAACACGTCTTCAAATAATGAGGCTGGTGCCCCTGGGTATTTGATTCTCCATCCAGTGCATCTAAACCCACTATTGTTAGATCTAAAACGGAGCTGGTAATGAAAAACCTGCAATCAGAATGATGACCATGAACTAAAATTTGGGTGTTGGTAAAAAAAGATTTACAAAGAACAACATCAACTGGCTATTACACCAGTAAATCACAGGAGGAAATCAATCATGAAGCTATTAAACCACAAAAATGGGCCAACCCAGAGATCAACCAGAACAACATCAACTGGCTAGAGCAAGTCAATTAAACAGCAGGGATCAGACTATTTTTCCACCTATATCCACCTCTACTTTTTTACTTCCAAAGGTAAGAACTTGCCTTCAATAAAGGGACAAGGGGTTGAGAGGCAAGAACAGCATATGCAAAGAAAATATTACAATGTCAGAGTTGCATCAATGGTTAGATTGAGAGGTAGAAAGAGGACTTACCACTTCAATCCTAACAAAAGGGTCAAAACTCAAAAAACTCAACAAGGTAACTATCTACAAGAAATCCAATTTATCACATTAAACTTCAATTTTCTTTAGCTGTGATTGATAAATTATGAATATCACCGATGTACAAAGACAACGAAAATGCTAATGAACAGTATATTACTGAAGAATCAAGAAGCACAGACGACCGTATAAATACATTTCTATTTCTACTGTTGAAAAAAAATGTCATCACTGAATATTAGTAATACATATTAGTTAGCGAAATACATTTTTACACATCCAACATATTTGTGAACAAATCAAAGGATATTGTTATGTCATGTGCGACACATCTGGGAAAGGAGAAGAGTAAAGATTAATGATTCAGTTGGGAGCAGCGCCTAATAATGCTGCTGCCTGCTGGTTTGCTACAAATTCAAACCCGTATGATCAACGATTGGTGCATTTTCCTTTGCTGCACTTATGTAATTGATAAGTGCCCTTGTGTTAAACTAACTTAACAACGAAAATCAAATTAAACCCCTCTCATGCTATACAGGCAAAGTTTTATCTTGTATATAATCCTGTTTTTGAAGAAAGATGATACTCGAGTTAAGGTGAAATACTAAGTATGAAGTATGAACCTTTGAAGATTTAAAGTAATTTAACTTCTAGGTGAAAAATGAGGTACACATTGTAGTTATGTAGGCGTTCATAGTAAATTCATGACGGTGAAATCTCAACAAAAAAAGGAAGAAAAAACAAGTTTAAATTATAACAAAGATCAATAAAGAATATTCTTTTAATAATGTAAACTTTACAGCTAAAAGTTCTGCCATGTACTGATATCTAAGCAGAAAAGGTGAGGCCAAACTAATCACCTCAATCAAATCTCAAAGCTGAGAATTCTACAAAGTATGAAAAACAATTATCCAACTATCAATCTTGGACCCACGTTCCTTTACTCAACTAATCATAATTCAATGGAATTTTCATGATAGTATGGAATGAAATCAAAATCCCTCATTTTTCCTATTACAAACCGGGAAAAAAGAGAGAGGAGAATTACCTGTGAGGAACGAGAGTGGCAGCAACACCGTTTTGGAGCCGGATCTCGGAGCTCTCGGCAGCAGCTGCAGAAGGGAGGTTAACGTGAGTAGTTAAGAGAAGATTCCGGTGGATGAGGAATCCGGTAACTGAGACTCCATCACCGGAGGCGCCGGTGATTCTGGCCATTGCCGGAGATTTACTTGAGAAAATGGTGCCCTTCATTCTTTCTGACTTGCTAACTCCTTTACAGAAACACCATGACTCTCTTAAAGCACCCATGTCTTTATTTTTTCCTTTTGGATTTTCAATGCTTCAACGAGTATAGCGAAATGGGTTTTTCATTTCTTTTTTTCAAAGGGCTGGATCTGGAGAGAGTGACATTGAACCACTGAAGGTATCAGACTAGAAAAGTAATGGGAATGTAAAGCGTTTGAAAGTATGCTTCGCTGATAAAAACAATGGAGAGTGGGAAGAAATAGAGCCCGACGAAATGAAGGAGGAGACGAGATGGTCGTGAAACGAGTAAAGGAAAATAAGATTTGGAGGGGTGTTTTCTAACTCTTGGACTTAAAAAAGGAACAATATTTAAAACAAATTAAAAATAAATAAAAAGTTCTATATTTTAAAAAATTTAATGTAATACTCTTATTATTTTTTAATGTGATTCTTTGACTAATATTTTCGTTATTTAATTATTACGATATTGATGTGACGCTCTACAGTATCACATAATAAATAGACTATCAAGTTAGTATCATAGATCATCACATATATACCTATAAATTATTGCATCAAACACTGTAAAATGTCAAACAACGGAAAAAAATAAGTGAAAAGACCTAATTGGGTTATCTTATATTATTGTATATTATGTATAAGTATTTACGTGACATTGAATAAATTTTAAGAGTTTTATTAATGAAAGAATGTGATTGACATGTACTAATAATAGTATATGAATGAAATAAAATATATTAAAAATATTAAAAATTTAAAAGTTGATTTAAAATGATGTCATAATTTAAGATGTCTAGTGCAATTAATAGCTGCTCCATAGGGGACCATTCAGTCTTTTTCAGACAATTCTTTTTAGTACTGCCTTGTGTGTTTTTTTATACTTTGGGTAAGGAAATTGACATTTGCTTGCTAATCTTTAAACCGTGTTTTCGCTGAATTGAAACATCCCAAGAAATTTAATAACGTTTTATAGATCTAAATTATATAAAATAATTTAAATTTTAAAGTGGCATACCAATATTTATATTATTTATCTTTAATTACAACCGGATAAACATATAATTCGTGATTACTTACTTTAACTAGGGTATAATAAAGGGTAAACTACACATTTAGTTCATAAACTATCAGTTTTGGTTCATTTTAGTATCTAGGCTTTTAATTTTTTTAAAATCATACTTAACGTTTAGTTTTTGTTTCATTTTAGTATCATTCGTTGAAAAACTTAACACGTCTAGTACTTAAACTGCCATTTTTTATCCGTTTTAATACCTAAACTTTTAATTTTTTAAAAAACTTAACGTTAAATTTTGAACATGATACTAAAATAAACCAAAATTTAAACTTAAGGTATGATTTGTAAAAAACTGAAATTTAAATACTAAAACGGACTAAAGTTGATAGTTTAAATATTAAATATGAAATTTACTTTATAATAAAATATGAAAGGTACATAAATTATCCAAGTGAAAGTGGCAACTATGATTAGTGGTTGTCTGAAAAGGGAAAATTCTTTATTAAGCACATGAAGGAACATGTAGAGCGAAAGGGATCTATTTTCCATTTCTTTTTAAAATTTAATTTCATTACCAGACACCATGAATAAGCTGTCAGAGGAACAAAACATGTGATGCGTAATAATTGCATGCGAAAATGTTAGGGTTTATAGAATTTCAGTATCAAAGAACAAAGACGTCGAATATCCACTTTATAAATTCATGCATTAATAAAATATGAGAATTCGACCAATACAATGGCAAGTAACATGCAAATTGGCCATAAAAATCTTAAAAACTGACATCCGTGTTGGCTCTTCAATTCCAAGATACGACTAATGGCAATGCCGTTTTCACAAAGGTAAAATATATTAAAACCCATTTAAATAATTATTTTAATTTCATTTTTTTTCAAAATTATGAAATAAATCGAAATATTATAAAAAATATTGATTTTATTGAGCTTTTATAAATAATCACTAAAATTATTAAAATATGCAATTGCCCTTTCTCAAATGGTACGGAAACTTCAAAGCGACAAATTTTCCACTCGTGATGGGTGAGGAAATGACTCATTTTTTTTACCATAGAAGTTAGAAAATTTACGAAGGAAAACCATACCATCAAAGTACTATACTACTCAGCCTCATAAGAGTCGGATTCATGAGTATATATATGGTTATATATATATATATATATATATATATATATATATTAGAAGATCTTTCGAGGTCATTACCCATGTTTTTAAACAGAAGTGCCATTCTGGAAGGATTACGAATGGTGAACAAGAATAGATGGAATCGAGTGATTATCGAGGGTGGTGCTATAACCATAGTTAGCCGCTTGATAAATCCGTAAGAAGATATTTCAGTGATTGGATTGATGCTCAACGAGGCACAAGCGACTCTCATCAAAGTTCATTATGCGAATAGAGGGACAAACCGGATTACACATGAACTCGCTCATTGGGCCTCTTCGAGGACCAATCCTTTTTGGTTTGTTTTTGATGAACCGGAATGTATTTTGACACCGATGAATACGACGACTCGTCTTTCAAAAAAAGAAAAAGAAACAGAAGTGTCGGATATGGGTATTTCAAAAAGAATAATCGGAGCAACATATGAGACCGATTGCTTGGCTATCTCTTTACCCCTTTCCAATGTGTTAAACATCAGAATAATATTTAACTAGAGTGGATCATATCAAATAGATGTCAACCAAATCAAAATATGATGAACAATGACGCTTTGTTCAGATTTCGATGTGTTCTATTGATGGGAAAAGTACTCAACAAGTATAGCTAAAAATTACTCAAAAAATGGTAACTCATTTCTTTTACCAAATATACTCCTCAATGTTAGACACAGGCAATATAATTCTTCTACGGAAGTAATGCAAACTTTGTAGTTAGTTCCCAATTTGTACCTTTTCTCTCTGGTCCAAAACAGAGGTCCATCGGTAAAGCTTGCAGCAATTTGTTCTCACTTGAGTCAAAGAAGAGATGTTATCGGAAAAACTATCAGTTGGAACCAACATCAACCCCTTTCTGCTTCAGGAAACCCTTGCCTTCGGCGATGTCCTAGAACATACCACATAGTATGAGGAGGAAAATTTATGTCTCAACAACAGTAGATGTTATCATACTGCTTAAGAACATACTGGGAAAACAAAAGGAGAGGACACAGAAAGGGAAGGATGTACGCGAATAAAATGAGACAGAGAAGCAAAATACCTGCTGCAGCAGCGATGCTTCTTGAGGGCAAGTAGGGAACCGCATTAGACCAACTCCGACCATGAATAAACCATAGCATCCGAGTGACACAATAACATAGATGGGAAGCTGGAAAAATTAAGTGAATGCATTAGAATAAGTGGACATAAATAACAGAACACCAAAGAAAAGAAAGAAACTCACCAACCAAGTGTGGCTTTGTGGTATTATAGATGCCTGTAAGAGGCCGATCCAAAGGGCGGAGATGACCACCAGCAGAGAGAGAAGCTTTAGAACATGCTTCATTGGATTGGCAATGAAAACTAGCTCAGGAGTCCTGATTTTTATTTCGAACCACTTAAACCTTTAAACAGATGAAGAAAAACCATGCAGCTGAAAAAAACGAAATGCATAAGCAACGAGACGCTGGACTGCAAAATGAAGTAAACATCACCAAGAAAGGAGTTCTGCAGATAAACAGAAACAACAATGAACATGCTACAAATAGTATTATCTTCCTCCAATGCATTGGAAATGACAAGTTATCGACCACTACATTCAATACAATGGTATATTAACTAACTTTAAAGACCTCCTGAAGGGCACTCATTAGCAAACCCATATTTCATATCCAGTTTAAGAGATGGAGCAGAAATGATATTTAGTAATTATTCCATGATGAAGAAACTCAAAGCCCTAGCTCAAAACGTCCCCAGCATCAGCTGATGAACTCACGTAAAGGGATCAGTCATTTCTCAAATCTGCATTACTAAGCTAAACACCTAAAACCAATTTAAATGAAGAAAAATAAACGCACACAAGAAAAGGAAAAACAATCCAAACAGATCAAAACTGCATAAACTGCCATGCGATAGCTAATCAAAAAAATATTTTTTTAATTTTTTTTCAAAGTCCGATTTTGCTTTCTGCAACAAAGGAACCCAAAGCCTATGGAAAATTTCTCGTTAAAAAGTTCATTTGGAAGTTTCAATTTACGATTGGTGTTTCCTCAAGCAATTAAACAATCAGATGGAGTAACGAATAAATCCAGTAATTAAAGAGCATACCTTTGACGAGAGAGGGGAAGAGTCAATTGGATCGGCAGCCGGAGAGAAGAAAATCGAACAGGAAAGCAAGACAGAGGTATTTTCAACTGGTTTCGAACAGGAAACTTGGGTTATTTGGGCTCCAATTTGATTTTGATAAAGAAAACAGAACTGGGCTTTTTCCAAAGAGAAAGACACCAAAGTTGGATATTTTAGGCTTTGGGCTTTAGTTTAAAGAAGCAAAAGTTGGGCTTTTTCTTTAACCCCACAATGGTCAACTCCGAATTATTGAAAAAACACGATGGTTAATTATGAAATCTGGTAAATCTTTGAAGGTAGACTGGAACCGGAGCGGGCAAACCTTCCTGCAAACTCCGATACCCATCTCATTATTGGAGCAAGCCATTCGGCCGATCAATAATTCAATAGAATCCGCAATCGAACGATGGGGACGACGGGTGGGAGCGACGTGGAGGCGGGATTCGCCAAGCTACAAGGGGAAGACTTCGAATACTACATGCAAACCTACTCCATAAAGCTCGGCCGTAACTCCAAGAAATCCACCGTCGACGTCGACTTAGCGAGCCTCGGAGGTGGTATGAACATTTCCCGCCACCACGCCCGCATCTTTTACGACTTCACCCGACGCCGTTTCGCGCTTGAAGTTCTCGGCAAAAACGGCTGCCTCGTCGAAGGTGTCCTCCACCTTCCTGGTAACCCTCCCGTCAAGCTCGATTCACAAGACCTCCTCCAAATCGGGGACAAACAGTTTTACTTTCTTCTCCCCGTGAGGAGTATTCTCGGCGGAGCCCTTGCTCCTAGGCACCATGTTTCGATTTACCAGACGGCGGGTGCAGGGCCAGCAGCTGGAGGTGTGCCGCTTTATGGTCATCATGGCGGTGCGGAAATGGGAAGGACGGTGGGGTCCGTGGCGGGAGCAAAGAAGGGCAGAGGAAGAGAGTATTATGAAGAGGATTACGGGGAGGAAGAAGATGTTGGGAGTGGTGGGAAGAAGGTTAGGAGGGAGGATTGGTATAGTAGGACGGAGGCCGGATCCGGAGGGAAGGTGGGGTTGGCCGGAGTATTAGGTTAGTACAATTTACTATTGGTTTTTCCCTTAAAATTTATCATTTATGCGATTGCTTGATCACATTTTGTCTTTCATTATTTCCTGGTAGTTGTCATTGTGAAGCTCTAGGAAGAAAACTTGCCATTCTTCAGCCATTGTTTTTTGAATATTTAGTTATTGATGATACAGAACCAGATTTGCTTCTTGTTTTAGGGTACTTATGTTCTGACATAGAGTTCTGCTATTACTTGCCTTAACTATTTAGCTCCTTGGTTCATAATTTCCAATGTTATTCTTCTTGGTTTTGCTGGCCATCAGAAACTGGCATTGTTAATTACTTTTTGTTTCTAAGCTTCATTTTTGTTGATATGCTGGTTTAATCTATGACATTATTTTTTCCTATGAGCATCCCATTGCATTATTCCTTAAATTATCAGCAGTGCTTACCTGCAGAACCTTCTGAATAGTGAATCCTGATCTGGTTTTGGAGAACCACACTAGTTCATTGGGTTGTCCTGGCTTTGAGTTATCTTTATTTCTTTGGTCGTCAGTAAAGATACCCTTAGGAATTGCATAGTATGCAGAACATCAAATGTAGTCGTCTTCAAGCTTTTAATGATACTAGTAACAGTGCCTCCATAGAAGAGAGCAGAATGATTGACACTGGTTTAATATTCTATAGGTGTTACAAATTGCCGTAATTGGCCAGTCATAGAATTTGATTTTCTGGCACTTCTTGTTATGTTTTGTTGCCACTCGCATGCTATGTTTTGTTGCCACTCGCATGCTCACTACTCATTAGCCTTTCTCATACCATTATTGGCTGTTGTTTCTTTTAATCTGACTTTACTATTTGTTATTTAGCTTATTATTGGTGTCAATCAGATTATATCTTTGAAAAGGAACCATATTATTAAGACATCCTGCCTCTCAACCTGAAAATAAGCAAGATTTTAGCTGCCAAAGTATGTTTTTCGGTTACCATGTAGTCTCTGAGATTTTAGGTATATGAGTCGTGATAAATCAGCTATGCATTGCTGTCTCTTTCATTTCAAAAGTTGTTTTTGACTTTTATCGCACCAAAAATTATTTATAAGGTTTCATCAACCAGTTCTATTGTTTTCCGATGCCCTTTCTCTTTCTTTTTGGTCATATACTCTGACCCACGATCAGCTTTTCATCCTTGTACATGAGCTTTCATTTATTTATGCTGTTCTCATTCAGTTCGTCAATATTTACTCTCTATATTTTACCTGAACTTCGGAACTAAAGGTTCCTCCTTTGGATAATAAATACCATTTTCATTGGCATGATAATATCTGCAGTTCCTGCAGAGAAGAAGGGGGAGGGAAGATCAAGAGTTGACCGTGAATCAGATAATCAACAACTTATGCAGTTGGAAGAAAAGGATGTGGTTTCTTCTGTAGCTACTGTGCTTTCGGATCTTTGTGGTCCTGGGGAATGGATGGCCATGGAGAAACTCCACACTGAGGTTAGGTTTGAGCTTTGGGTGATTTAAATCTTACTTTAATCCCATTTCTTTCGGCCCTTCATCTTTTTACTTTTTATTGCTTTTTGGTGATGACACTCCTATCTAGTTGACTGTAGTCCTTGTGTTTTTCTTTTGATTGTCCCCTTACTGTGCTTTAAAGATTTTGGCATGGAAATGGCTTTCTTCTATTTTTTGCTCTGAAATTTCAGCGTAGGAGTGCACTTAAAAGTTAGGCCATTTCCTGCATGATTGATGTAATGTTTATGAAGAGGCCATCAATACAATCTATACTCATCGTGTATAGAAAAAGGAAGACGGCTTTTGTGATGAAATGATAATGGCAACAATCACCACTAATAGTGCTACTTATTTTTCTTCTCATGTGCGTTTCCTTTTGCCTCTGCAATTTAGAGGGGGAAACAAGATTTATTCTGTCATGATTTATTGATTTTAAATTGCTCAAATTATTTACTCTCTTAACTTCCCTTTGCTTAAAGTGGCTATAAATTCAATGATTTAGAGTTTGTATGATCTCCTTGATGTATTTGCATTGGATGTCCCGAAAGTTGAATGGACCTTTAGAGAACGTGGTCCATTGGCTAATATTTGCTAAAGAGTTGGTATTTTTGGGCCTTTATATTTTTCAAGATTGCTTACTTTGCCTTTCTTGTTACAGTTGGTTGAGCAGTTTAGTAATGTCTGGCATCATAGCCGAGTTCGAAGATATCTTACATCCGAGGCCTGGCCTGGTCCTGAATCCAAGGGGAAACCATGGTATGGTCTGCTTATGTTGTTGAGAAAATATCCTGAACACTTTGTCATCAACACAAGATCCAAGGGTCGGGTAACGCAGGAGTTCGTCTCTCTTGTATCTTTACTTTCGTAGAGCAACGGTAACACAAACCGCCAAACAGCGTTCCCTTACATGGTCATCTTACATGACATGTTTGCGAAGTCGGAATTTGCGGAGTGTAGTATATGATGATACTAATGTTCTTCTCTCTTTATCTCATTTTAGATTCACTCACTTTGAGCTCTGTACTGGGTTGTATGCATTTAAGATGTTTTGGCAATTTGGCATCAATTTGCATTTATTATTTAGCCTTTCTTTGGATGAATTCACTGCACATTTTATGATGGCAATGAAACTTTCCTTCCAGGAAAGAGTATCATAATCACTGGCAAGACTAATATTATTAACGGTGAAGTACAAAAGAGATCACTGAACTATATTCAAATCATTGTTTTGGTCACTGAATTTTCAATTGTTATAAATTTTATCATTAAATTTATCGTGTTTTACTCGTCCCACAAACTTGCCCTGGAAGTAGGAATTAAGATGAAGACTATTGGTAATTATACTGTCATCAATAAAAGATTGACACGTTTAGCGGGATCCACTTGGAATATTTGTACTACAACTTAGCGAGCAAGGAGAGAGTGTATGTGTATATGAGGTCAACATTTGGCACTAACTTCCCTATGCGCTCTTTTTTTCATTTCATCTTCTTCAGCCTTTTATTACTGCTTTCCTTTTAGCAAATCTCATTAGATAAGATGAACATAGTTAAGGGTTTCAGATTCCACCCAACTGATGAAGAACTCATCGAGTTTCTGCAGATCAAAACCTCCGACCGTGATTCTCTAGTCCAAATTATTGATGAAGTCCCCGATATCTGCCAGTGGGAACCTTGGCAACTAGCTGGTAAATTATATATATGTTTATATATATATATATATATATCACACATATTTACTGTAACAGTTTCTTTCTTAGCTGCTGAAATCTGGGCATTGGTACTATCTAAGGAGAAATATACTTTTTATGAACTCTAGTTTAGTCCAAATGGATCATGCCCAAAAAAAAAAAACTAAACCTTTGTTCATCATGTTGCGACTTTTTTCATATACCCAATTTGGTGAAATATGAGTATGTGCTTGTTTTTTTCAGAGAGTTCGAAGTTGCAGGCTGGGGACCGATTATGGTATTTTATATACTCACCAAAATATAAGTACCGTAATAGTAAACGAATTAACCGGACAGCCCGTCGCGGTTATTGGAAACCTACGGGCAATGCTCGTAAAGTTATAGACCCCAAAACAGGGGAGTTGATTGGTACCAAGAAGACATTGGTTTACTATAAAGGTCAGTGTAACGATGGAAACAAAATCAAGACTTGTTGGGTTATGCATGAGTATGAACTCAAGGCTGACCCTAATTCCATTGACACTGATCATGTAAGTCGTGGTTTAATTGAGTGAAATTTATTCATAAGCTTCACTGCTGCAAATATTTTGCATTTAGCTTTAGGGTGTTTGATATTTCATTTATTTGCTTTGATGTGTTACAGAAAACTTTCAACCTTTGCAAACTGAAGAAAAGGGTTGATGTTCTGAGCACCGATGCTGGTCAACCAGGTCAGCACAATGAAGGCTATGGTGTTCGTGATAGATCCGGTAGTGTTGATAGCTGTGCTGGAGAAAGAAGCAATCGACATAATATGGTTACAGAGGATGCAATCTCTGACTTATCTAGTTTGGTAAATCCTGTTGCTGAGGATGTGATTCCAAAAGTAAGATGCACAATGCTAAGTTTCATATTTGTTTATCTTAGATGATTGACTATCTAAAAAGAATGCTCATTTCTCTGGCTTAGGAAACTTTACACCTTAAAGAGAGGTTAAAGGAATGCAATGGACCTGAAGACAATAATGGTGTTCAAAAATTGTATAACACCCTTGAAAAGGATGATAAGTCCTGCAATTCAGTTCTTATTGATGGTGATGATGAAATCATCACCATGGAAAGAAGTGCATCTGAACTATTCGAAGTGCCTTCAAGCTTTGAGCTGCCTCTTGCCGATAACAATTTAACTCCGATGGTAAATATCTGTTTTTATTAGTCATTTGATTATGCAGACGATGATAAAGATACAAAGAGTGAGCTGTTTTTGTATATGTTTTCAGGACTTATCATACTATAATGGATTATCGTTTGATGAGTTATTCAAAGAACCAGAGGCAACTAATGACTCTAATTGGATTCAAGATCAATATATCACCAACATGGAAGATGAGTTCTTGAATTCAATTTTTGTTGAAAATGAAGCATTCAGCTGGCCGTGTTTAGGTGTGATGGAACCATCCGATTCGATGGAGAAACCTAGAAAAAAACCACGCCTTCTGCATGAAAGTCATGCAGAAACAGCAGATGCTCAAGTTGGTGGAAACATCACAATATCATCAGTAACAAAGAGCTAGACATGCTCAAGATAAATATTAGCAAATACAGCAGTCAGCAGAAAGTAAAGAATGTTCCCTTTTTGTTTTGCTTTTTTGATTGTTTGATCGTTGAAGGGCTTTAAGACTGTAAAATAAGAATTACAGGTGATATCATGTGTAACACAATGTTGTCTTATATATTACTGTTTGAATTTAAACTATGTTGCTGCTGTCTGTTATTTAGCCTTTGCTGATGCTTATGCAGAATTGATGAAAATAACTGAAGGAAGATTTGGTCGAATCTACTCTGTCGAGAAGTACTTGTACTCGTGCAATACTTATATTCGACTATGGTTAAGATACACAGGGCCACCTACGCAAAGGAATAATTCTTCTTCTGAAATAGAAGTTATTTTTCCAGCAATTATTTTTCGCATGCCTTTCATCAGTATAATAACAATGGTTCAGGCTGATGATGCAACCAATAATTAGTACTTATTTGGGATTTAAACACTATGATGATAAATGTAGATTTATCACTGGGATGTTGCCCAAATAGGGGGACTTTTATACACCCAAAAATGGACACTCTGCAACTAGAGTGTAATCAATAGACCCAGATTATTCAGCTCCACTCTTTTGAAGCTGAGAAGCTATTGACTCCTGGTTTGCTGTTCCCGGTCACCGACCGTCCTCTATTGTAGTTTCAGAGCATTTCTGTGGTCCGACTCTGAGCCTTTCGCTTGTACTCTGTAATCATCATTCAAAATAAACCCATTGAATGTTTGTTACAAACAACAGCTGAGATAACAAGGATAGATAATCATCAATACACAATAGGTTTTTACTTTTATTGGTAATTGAATGGCGAGTATATGCCAAAAACTCTTCCCACTTGAATTTCCGAAGCTCCTGTTTTTCCTCTTCCGAAAGCTCAAAGTTAGGCTCCCTTCCGCACATGAAAGCGGCTCTACATATAAAAATATCTATCTATCAACATAACATGCAGTAGGACAGTTATATTACCGAAAAACCAATGCTAAGACCACATCTTAGCACATCATGAAATGACACAGGCCAACATTGTTTACTTATAGTCGATGACAAAAACAAAGCCAGTTCAAATTTTAGAAGGTAAACAATACGGAAACAAAAATGCAATAAAAGCTTAGCTCTTAAAGAATCCTTCATATAGAGAAGCTAATAGCATATACCTTCACCGCTTTTTCATACATGCCATTCCAATATTCTATTGGAATTTGCATATGAGCAGCACTTCATCATATTTATCATCAATATGCATGAACACTTTCAATGAAATTCGTTAATAACCATGAAGAACAATTTTTCCTCGTGTCAAGTTAAGCATGAAAATAAATGAATACAGCATGTTCATAGACTAATATATAAAGGTTAAAGGTTTTTGCATTTACGTCAAACTAGACTACTGAAAATTTTTTGCAAAACGTATAGTGATACTGATTAGAGTTTCTGTAGAAGTTGTAGAAGCAATCATTACAAGCAAGATAAAAGCTAACTTAATACCTGTCATATAAGCGTGCAGCTTCTTCTTGTGAACCAACAGTGCCTAAGTGAATCTGTTTCTTGTCAACTTTTATTGCGGCCTGCCATTTCATATTTTTGAAGTATACGCCCCTCATTAAGCAAGGTTCTTGGTTTGACACATGCTTCCTTCTGTGTCGCTTCCTTCGTTTGATTGGTTGCTCTACAGATTATACATTGTATAAAGGCATCCGTCAAAATGTAAAAAAATAAATCGGCTCATAGCATCAGACATTGGCACTAATGATTAACTACATGTTTAATAAGGAAGCAGCGCGGCATTGACTCAGCTCCAAAATATATACGTTCATCTTTATTCTAACAAAAAAGGGGTAAAAGTTAAAACACTGACTCCTCCTGAAACTGCTTCTCTATTTACGTCAAACTTGTTATTTATCAGAAGCAGCAAGAAGCCAACAAGAAGATACAAACCAACAAGAAGCCATAGACAAGTAAACTTTTCAATTTTGACAATATTAACAAACATGTGGAGTATGTGTTTCCAAAGATACAAACCTGGAAAAGGTTGATTATGATGCTCTTTCGATGAACCAGAACCAGAAATGTTTGGTGATCCACAGCTAACCTTAGCGAGGCTTTTCTGAGAGAGCCTAAATAGTTACATTTAAGCTTAATTCTAAAGTAAAGGCCAGAATTAAACATTGCATGCCACTTCGTATTTATCTATCATGAACTTGAGAATCCGAATCAGAACCACTTAATATATTCATTATGAACCGCTGTTTGCATGCATGCCAATTAAATAAACTAATAAAAGCAAAAAAATATTGATTAGAAATCCAAAACATCAAAGGGTTTCCACAAACAGTAAAACAGATTCTGTAATGCAAACAGTTGTTAAATATCATTTGTAATTGACAACTGACTATTTATCCTATAATTCAATCTCAAAAGGGAACCATCACCTAGTAAACAAGGTTTTTCTAATAAGGGTGCTCCATGATTCAATGGATTGACCAAGCATCCACAATTCGTTAATTTACCATATCCTTTTCATTTCTCGGTACTAGCAAAGGAACCCTTAGGATCACATACATGGTCAAGTTGAAAACACAAGAAAAGATACTATCATTACCAATTGCATATTTTCTATCAATTATGACTGAAGAAATAATTCTTTCTATTCAATGATCCCAAACAGCTCGGTTAGAGGAGGCAAAAAAAAAAGCAGCGCATACACCTACGTTTTCTCATAGATCCACCACCTTTTAGCTCACTAACCACACATGCCAAAAAAAAATGGCTTGGATGTTCATTTAACAATAACTAATAAACCAACCATGAATATTGACCAGTCTCATAAAAAGATGCAATTGTGATCGCCTAGTCCTACAATGCAGATACAGATAGCAAAACAAACAATGAAGGTAAAATTACCAAGCCTTCCTAAAATCCACAAAGACAAATGTTTTTTGTTTTTTTTTTATCTTATTTTGGATAAAGATTGATGAAATGACTTGCTCCTATAATTATTTTATCATGGAAAACAAGCCAGAAGAATATATAATTGTAGAAAAGATAAATTGCAAGACCAAATTAAGATTAGCAGGTGTTTAAGAGATGGGGGAAATGCATTATGATTTAAGATCCACAATGATATATTCTATGCATGTCGGTCACTGAAAATGTTGGATACTGATAAAAAAAACTAAAGACTATAGTAATCTTAACATAAAGTAAAGAGGCGTGATTTAGGCAAGCATCTCTAGCCCATGAGAAAAAAGGTAAAAAGAATATCAGCAAGCTGCCTGTTCATACACAATGGAAAAAGAAATAGTAATACAAACAACTGATACCGCCACAACCAAGAAGCGAATTAACAGTGAAATCATTTAATACTACACCTGGTCAATTGATTATTAATGCAATCTTACCCTGTGCATGTTGTTCATGGAATCAGAGGGCATGGGATGCAAACTAACTGATTTTGCATTCTGGCTTGAACTTTCAGGGGCATTTCCATTATCAAAAAATCTAGGAAGTGGAGTCAAAAAGAAACTCTTCCCTACAAACGGTCATCGAATTTCGTGAATGACACTATTCAATCATAACTTAGAACTTGATTACACTCTATCATAGTTTACTCAATACGGAGGCAAACAATTGAAGGACACACTTCATATAACACATATAGAAAATGTTCCTACTCATCGATATCGATAGGAGTAATTAATTATGTGCAAGATAAGGTACATTTGAACTACAGTTTACCAGAGCAGAGTCCCAGGAGTCTGCGTCTGCGTAAGCTCACCATGTTGGCAACCTTTTAATCAGTGAACAATGGCTAAATAGGTAGTCCTTCGCATCATTCTGTATGCCCACGCCCCTAAGGCTACCAAAGATGGGAGATTTATAAGTGGATTAAACAATTTAGAAAATGATGAACAGCAAAGAACATATTAGAAAATAACCAGGATGGCAAGTTAAATCAGAGGGCTGATATAGGAAATAGCTTCATAAGATAGTAAACGGGAACTAAGATATCACCTATTCTACTTAGATATAAAGCAAAATGAGAAAAAGGACAAGAGATACAGAGAAGGCCATCAAGACTATGGGTCAATGCAAGTAACTTGATGATGCTCCTAAGCAATTTAAACAAGAAATTCAAGGAAAAAATGGAGTTGCCGGGTGAAAACTCGCAGATGTTGATCAATTTTCTTGTTATCAAATACTAATATCAACCATACATACTTCTATTTGGTAGGCTGAAAACCAACTATTTTCTCATAACACGTACGATTGATTTCGATTTCAATAATGCTACATAAAGAAGCAAAGGGGTTAAATCTAAAGCCCATGCACGGATTGGAAAACAGTAGACTTGATGCTGGTAAAACATAAATCATTCATAAATGAAATTAGAGAAAATAATAATATGAAACAAACCAACGCAAATCCCATGAAACGTTTTCAGTCAACCCTCAACCCCTATTGAAATGGTATACTCTTCTAAAAGTTAAACAGGCTCCGGATAAGGGGGCAAGATGACACGAAGCTTAACCATAGTTTTCGTTTTCATTAAAAAAAAGGAAGATAAATTCATCATAATTTGCATAAAGTAAAACCAAAACTCCCATCATGCGAAGCTAACAAAGCTGTCCAATAAGTCTGGCTAATGAAAATCCCAATTATCTCCCCCTGGAAAACAAGTCAACCCCACCAACCTACCACCTTTCATGGAAGCGAAGGCAGTAAAAAACACAAGAGAACAAAAAAACCCAACCCCCAAAACACACAAAAAAACAAGGAGAAAAAGAAAACCACAGAGCCAAAGTCTTCTTCAAGCCAATCAAAGCGAAAAACCGGTCATGACTCCATGACCAGGAAAAACAAAAGCAACCCATTACAGAGAAGAAGATAAGCAAACAAAATAAAACGAAAGAAAAGTCATTGTTTTCATCAATTGTTTGGTACCTGAGATAGGGAAAAACAAAGGTGGTGGTTGAAGCAGCGTATAAACCGAGGAGACAAAAAAAAGTTTATTTTTAAGGATTAAAACCAAAATCTGGCAAAAGAAATCTGATGATTGTTTGTTCTGTACAAAAGAATGAAGGAAGATTGTGAAAGATGTAGAGAAAGAGTGAATTTAAGAAGTTGGTATTGTGGTGGTGGCGC